ATAAATGTAACAAAACCAAGCAGCGTCTAGTTAAATAAAATAGGGCTGGAAAAACAATGAGTATTCATAATTTAGTATTTTTTTATTTGTCGACGTCTGGTCGCACTGCAGCTGCAGTCGGGGAAAGCTTTCAACTCGATATAACTTATTTTCGTTTCAATTATATATTTATTTGAGTGCTAGTGTTTTATTTTAAAATAGTAAATAATAATTAATTAGTCAGTGTTACAGCACAATAAAATACATGTATGTGTACTAAAAATGTGACAGCGGAATAACCAATAAAAAATTAGAACGTGTATATAAAAAATACATGCATATATATGTAATAGATGCATAAGTACTAAAATGCATCAGTATGTAATGAAAAATGCCACACAATTACGATAGAATCAACATAAAAACGTCTGCGGCCTAACTTATTTCAATTTGAGCACAATCAGAATTTGCGCCGAACAAAAATTTCAGCTGAAATTATTTTCGATTGCGTAGATTGTATATGTATGTATATTATACATACACATACAGTGAAAAGGGTGTATACATGTGTCTAAAGATGAATGTACCATAATTACGCGCCGTTCAATTCTGAAAACGCAAAAGTTTAAAAATAGTGTCACATATAATTAAATATAATTTCCCACAACAAACGGCACTAAGAAAACCAACAAAGCAGCTTTCTTAATGAGTGTTTCTGCGACAGCGTGCAAATGTCGATGTTATTTAACAAGCTACAGTGCACCGAAAGAAGAGGAAGAAAAAGTTGTACTATTGTCTGTCATCTGGATAGCTTCAGTTTCACCAACATTTATGCATACACAAGCATTCAGTTTAATATTGCGCCTCCCCCGAGACAAACTACAATATATTGTTTGAGTGACCATTGCAAGTCATTTAAATAGTTAGTGTGTTTATCAGCTGCCAATCAGCTTGTTGGGTCATGCGCTTTAAGCGAGCAGTTTCTATTCGTATGTCCATTATTGTATGGTGTGACAGGCAATTGCGAAAAGCTCATGCAATTCCATTTGGCGTTGCCACATATTCAACATATGGTATGGTAACACCAATATAAAAGCAGAGTATTCTGTACATTTTGTAGGAATTTGTATTTTCTACAAGATGCAGAAATTGTTTATAAGTATTAAATTTAAGCAAGCATTAGGCGCCTTTGTTTCTGTTTTATTTCCATTTGGCCAAYGCACTACGTTTGTGGCAAAAGTGGCAGCACTCTTTGCTCAGCAGGAGGTGGATAGGGGGGGCGAGCAAACAGCGCAGCGACACACAAAAGCACACGACGACGACGACGGACGGGTCGAATGAGTTGAAAATTTTCGCGAAACGAAAAGTTAAAAATAAATGTTTACTGTGCATGGTTCAAATACATAGTATATATAATTTTTATAGTACTTAAATATTATTGTGCATTGTGTTTATGGTTTTCTCTTTACACACTGCCAGTTCGCCTTTAATTTTGCTATTAAATTTAAACATTTGATAGCCTACAAGCTTGTGTTAGTGCGGGCTGCCAATGCAAGACGTAAGAGGGGAAAGAAGTGTGTGCGATTTATACCTTATGCCTGTTTCTATTCATTTCATTTTCGGACGACAAACGCGAATGGTAACACCAAAAGAGAAAGAACCGTAATCGTCTTCTGGTAGCTGTGCAAAGAAAGGCGCAAAGAAAATCAGAAAGTAGAAATAAAGGAAAAAAAATCGTTGCATCTGCGAGGGCGGGCTGCGCTTGTGAAAATAGTGTATACATGTGTATGTGTGTGTGTGTGCGTGTTAGCCTTGTTACTTAATTTGGCCGTTTTTCCTTTGTTGTCATCTGTTTACACTCAATGACTGACAAGTTCTTTTTTTTCAATTGCATTGCATTGCAGCTCCTTTGCATTCTACACATGTGTACATAGGAATCTCTAACTTTAAATATAGTGTGAAAAAGAAAAAACCAAACCAATCGAAACGAAGTGCTGAAAGCTCAGCCGAAAGTTCATTGAAATAAAGTAAAATCGAATTCATCGGCAGAACGGTAGAACGTGCGCCTAAAAAAGGAACGGCACCTACCGAGTGGACGTGAAGACGTCGTCGCTGCTGCTGCCGCTGCCGCTGCTGCTGCTGCTGGTGGTGACCCTTCCGTTGTCGCTGCCTTTCTGCTGTTGCTGCTAAATAATGAGTCGTCATGAAGGTAACAAACAAACAACAMACAAAGCTCCCTTCTCTMTTAATCATCTAAAATCTTAATTGATTTGTGCATTTTGTTTAGGTGTCAGCTGCGATTCATGTCTAAAAAGTAACTTCACTGGACGTCGCTATAAGTGTTTAATTTGTTATGATTATGATCTGTGCGCCGATTGCTATGAGGATGGCGTCACCTCTACTCGCCATCTGGTTGAGCATCCAATGCAGTGCATACTTACCCGTTCCGATATTGAGTTATATTTTGGCGGTGAGATGTTAACAACGGATCAGCCGCAATCCTTTACGTGTCCTTATTGCAAAAAAATGGGCTTCAGTGATGCGACACTGTTAGAACATGTCTCYGCCGAGCATACCGAGACCAGTTTGGAGGTCGTTTGTCCCGTTTGCGCCGGGTTGCCTGGCGGTGAGCCGAATCTAGTCACAGATGATTTTGCTGGTCATCTAACATTGGAGCATCGGCAAGGACCACGAGAGTTAATATCCTTTTTGATATCCTTTTACAAAAACAACATCATTCAATGAACTCATTTTCAGTCATTTAATAGTTAAGTTTCCGTGCAACGTATTTCTCTTAAGTTTAAGTCCTCTGTGCACAAGAAACTTTTGCCGTAGTACATCCATATACATAAATATTTTGTAGCACTCAATTAATTCATAATTATCACTCATTCATGCATATATTTGTTTGTTTATAACATCTAGGCGAATTGCATATTAGGAATAGTTAGTTATTAAAGTTAAGTGTGGAGATGTGTTTCTGGTATAGATAAGTTATTGTAAATTGAGACGAATCGAATTTTGTTTTGGTTGCCTTAACCTTTAGACTATACGACGAGCCCTCGGCCATACGCCATGGCGGTGGAGTGCGTCGCATACCAGGACGGACCTTGGGCGGGCCTCGCACCCGTCGCTCCAATATGCACTTTAGCTCATCGAGCGGACTGTCGGCATTATCGCCATCGGGTCGCGAATCTGTCGATCCCATTGCGGAGCTCCTCTCTCAACTATCCGGTGTTAGACGTGGCGTTCCACCAACATCGCAATTGCAACAATTGCAGATGCAAATGCAAATGGATCGGCAACAGTTGACGGTAAGCAGCGCATTTGTTGTTATTATGAGCTTGTATATAAGGCAGAAGAAAAGCAAAAAATCWGAAAAGAGCAAAACAAAAATAAAATAAATYTTGTGAATGTTTGYATATAACGCTTTCGTTATTTTAGGCATCGCGCCAAATTGATCGACTGCCAAGACGCACGCATCCCATAGTCTCAACATCGAATTCGAATGCCACCATGGCCGAGGTGATCAGCGGCGGCGGCGGCAACAGCGGTGCAGTTGGCAGTGGTGGCATGAGTGCCAGTGGTGTGAGCGCACCGTCTAATCTGCGCACCACAGATTGGCCGGTGGGCGCGACCTTCTCATCGACCAGCAGCCATCAGCAGACGCAGTCGAGCAGCCTGGCCGCCAACACACTCAACGCCAGAGAAGTAGCCACAAATAATTTGATTAAAGAATCCCTTATTGCTTAGACTAATGCGAATTTAATTGTGTCCTTGTAGGCGGTCGGCAACAATTGCATTGGCAGCGGCAGCGGCAGTAGCAATGCGCTGGGCATAAGCGTCGGCACTGGTGGCTCATCGATAGCCAATGGCGGGGGCAACTCCAACGTTATGTCTGGCCARGCTGGCGGCCAAGCTGCAGCTGGCGAGACATCGCAATCCCAGTACTTGCTGGCCAAATTTATGCAGCCCACGCTAACGGATGCCGAGTGGGCGGAAATTGAGCGCAAGCGCGCCGATCGGTAAGATTATTAWACATATATACACATATTGATCATAAATTAGTCGCTCATGTCTTTTCTGTTGACAGCTCCATGTTTGTGCAGTCGATGCTGCTATCGTTGTTATGCACTGAAGAGCTAGACTTGAATGTGCCCAATGAGGATGGTGACTGTTTGGCTAAGAGTGATAATGTAAATAAGGAACAGAATGGCAGCGACAGCGACAACAAGCAGCAGCAGCAACAACAGCAGGAGGAACAGGAAACGCTGCTCAATAACAATGCAGATGAGCAGCAGCAGCAGCAACAACAGCAACGCGCTGTGGTACGACAGGTGAATCAAATGCAACAGACCTCGCCAGAGGACTTCTTATGCGATGAATATCGCTACAAAAGCAAGAAAGCCAATAACACAACAGCAACAACACAAACGAGCGGCACTGCTGCAACAGGAGGATGCGGAGGAGCAGGCGTCGTTGGTGCTGGCGGTGCTGGCAGTGCAGCAGCCGCTGCAGTTGGCAGCCGGCCAACAGCAGCTGATCGAGGTGGCCTCGAAAGACGCAGCCGGGCACAGCAAGCGGAGACTGCCACGGGCTCACAGCAGCAGTTGCAGCAACAGCAACAAAAATACAAACAGAACGCGAATGCGGCGGCAAACACAAATCAAATACCCGATACTAGGTAGTGTCTCACAACCATAACAGCAAAAACATGTTGTAGCTGCTGCAGACTAAGTAACAACAGCAATACGCGAACAATGCATTACCAACAACAGCAGCAACACCAACAAGAACACAATATCAATCAATACAGCAGCAACAACTACAACACACACAGCCGTAAGATTAACAACAACAACAAAAGGAACCGCAGCCGCCGTCGCAGCAGCAGCCGCAATTTTGTCAAAAACTATATTATATGTATCGTTTATTAAATATATTAAAATTTATATAATTATAAAAAACCAATTGAACAGAGATGTGCAGAAAGAAAAATTATTGTAATCATTGAATTAATTATAATTTAAACAAACAAAATTATAAATATTTAATAGTGTTATTTTGATTTATTTCAATCAATTGTGGAACATAGAAAATCCCAAACTACCGATAATCCAAGAATAGGTCTAATGGTCCCACAAACCTAGTTTAAGAATATCGGAAAGTGGTTCTTAAATATGTTTACATGTATTTTAATTCGACTGCGTGGTATTGAGATTAATGGTTTAAAACTTAAAGCTTTTATTGCCTATTAAAAACTCCAAACAAAAGAATATAATACGTTTAATTAGGAACACTAATACCTGTAAATGTGTTTCGCATATAGGATTTTTAAAAGGCCGAACGATTTAATTGAAATGAACATATATGCCTTACGTTGATATTTCTAATAGAATACTTAACAAATACTTAAAGCTGGAAACATAGTTCAACTTGAGTTGACCTCAATGGCTTAACTTTCATCTCTCTCGATAAGCATAGGMGGCATCAATTCCAGATCTAGCGCGCTTTGAACACCTCGGGGTTGAATGCAGAACACATATTCTACGGCTTGTTTGACTTGCCGTTCGCTAGCATATGGATTGGCCAACACAATATTGTTGGCCAGCATTTTGGCCAGCTTTTTGAATAGAAAGCGATTGGCAATTAGACCTTCCTGCAGTGGACGCATCAAGTACCGCACGATCCATGGTCGTATACGTAATATGCAGCTGGCCAGCAACACCTCATCCACCAGATCAATGCTGGGACTACTTATCTGCGTAGTGAACTCATCGTCACTGTCCTCACCAAAAAGCATATGAAACTTATAACGTAAAGCGTCTTCACAGCGCCAATCCGCATCTAACAATTGAACCAAGCACGCATTTAGACGTCGACGCTGTGCATACAATTCGCAGGGCCAGAGACTATTTCGAAGATCCGGAGTGCTTTTACTAGGCGGCTTAGTTGATGGCGTAACAGGCGATAATAGGGGCTTCAACTGCTCTGCCACAGTGGTGGGTTCGTTCAGATCATCTCCATCTGCCATGGCTTCTACAGCAATACCAAATACGGCACTTAAGTCAGTTAGCTCGTCGTTAAACAGTTTAGCTAGCTCCTGGCCTACAACATCTTCTGTACTGGATGTGGGTGTTACAGGCCTTTCGTTACCATTGACTTCTGCCAACTGCTGCTTTTGCTCTTTGCCTTCAAACTCTGCCAACTGAGACTGAAACATATCGATTTTCTGGCACAGCGTATAGCTTGTATAGCTGTCGTTCCGCTCGTCATTTGGCATGCTTGTCGTTTGCGTTGCCTTGTCGACCATCTGGTGCTTGGCTTTGGCATTGACATTCGCATATGATGCTCTTGTCGATGGTGAATTTTCGTCGATCTGTTGTATTCGCTGTTGCATTTCGTCGAATAGTGCATCAGCCAGACGGCACTCCCGTGTGTTGCGTCGCACGGCGGCGATCTAAATAAAACAACGTTAACTAAGGCTGCTATATAGCTTTCCTGGGATCACTTTACCATTTTCACCATAGCACGCTGATAGAGCTGTGCCGCCTGACAGGCTTTAATTGCATGCGTCTCCATTGCCTTGACGCTGTGGTCAATACATGCCCAGGCGGTTGGCTTGTGATGGTTCCTGGAAGTGCCTGCCCAGACGCAGACGTTTTCCTGCAGCTGACGCTCTAAATAGCGCACATATTGCTGGCGCACCTGTTCACAAGTATTTACCATTTATTAATCATTGATCTAATATTCTTAGCTGAGAGTAGTATGTGATAGTCTTTTACCACTTCTGTTAGTATAACTGTTTCACTGTTGATACTTGTAGGAGCCATAATCTAAAATCTGATATATAGTTTTAATTACAATTAACTACCGCATTTCAGCTACTCTTATAAACAATTTACTTGGCTCAAAAGTTGCGCC